GTCATTATGCGTGATTCACGGCTTGCGTCGATGATGCGACTATTTATAGCGATGCCCTGCAATTTCTCACGTACTGTACCGAAGCACTTCACTCATTCCAATTTAGAAAAAAAAATCTTTATCGACTCATTAGAGAAAGATAAGGATGGAAAACGAAACCGTCGATGAAATACAAAAAACTTCAGGTAACTTATACTGTTCCCTTGATGGAGCTCTTGTTGAGGAGTGAAGCAGTTTTCGATGTTTTTGGCAGCTTTTGACATTATTCTGTCATTAGTCGCATTTCTGGGAAACACTCTGATCCTCGATGCTCTTCGCAAGGAGTCTTCCATCCGTCCACCTTTTGGTCCACAAAAAGTCGAAAAAAAATTTAAAAAAAGCGAAAAAGGCACGAAAGCGTTTGCGTTTGAGATCAGATGTTCCATATCACCATACACGAAAAAAGACTTCCACCTTAGTAAAAGAGAAATATGCGAATTTTATAAAAAGAATTTTATCATCGAGTTCTAAAATGTTGTTGTCCATACTACTTATCCTCGACAGATGAAAATTATATATTCTTCGAATATTTGTCTAGGTCTACAACAAAGTTTGACGGATCTTGGAAACAATCCTGTAGCCTTTTATCCCCTACGAGAGACCAGCAGTATCTAATGTCTCCTTACAGTATCACCACTGAATTAATTATAGAACCAGGAGCCCATTACTTGGGCTCCTGATAAAGCTCATGCGAGTGAAAGAAATGTTCACAAAATTAATGTTAAAAATATCTTGACTGTTATAAAAATTTTCACTGTCAGTACGGAAGGAAGCGGATAGAGAACACAATGGAGGAAGTGAATATAACTGTTAGCGTGTAAAGGGTCGATTAGTGGTTGATGAACCCACCACCTGCCCTTGTACGCTCTCCTCACGCATTCTTCCCCCTCCAGGAAAACGCAACCAAAAGAAGCGTCTTTCTTTGAGTCTAAGCTTACAAGAACGTCTGATAGAATGTTCAACTTTAGTCGGGCGTCATTTTTAAAAAATTTAATTCGAATTATGGACTATGGTGTTTTAACATGTCTAACAGGGAAAAACATAATTGAATAACTGAATGACGTCTATTTTTTAAAGGCTTCGCAGGCGTCATTTTGAAAATTGAAAAAGTTTAATTTCATATGCAACAGCTGCCTTATTTACCTCAAAGTCTATAAAACAGATTATCACTGACCACACCCTTTTTTATTTTTTCATGATTTCCTTTGAAAAAATTTGAAATTTTAATCGCTTGTTTCTTTGTTTCTTTTGTTGCCTCGAAACTTTGGTGTCCACGCATAAAAAGTCATTTAAAATTCATGTCCAAAACAACTTTAAAGGGAAATGAAAGTACAAAATAAACAGAACGCAGTGGCCACATTCCATGCTAAGTGAAATGATCCACGCATTACATTTTCTACTTCAGCATGGTTTTTTTTTCAAACATAAACAACATGATTGCGTATTGCCGTAACGTGCCTTGGAACACGCATCTTTGCATCATTGCTAAGCCATCTGCTAATCCAGCCAACTTAGCCCAGCGCCAGCTTAATGCGTTTCATGAAATGTAACCGATTAAGTCAAACTTTTCTAGTTATAACTAAAGTTAAATGAAAACTAAACCAAAAGATAAAAACCTATTATTTTCAGTTCCTATGATTCCATCTTCTTTCGCCATTAGATATTAACGCCGAGGTTAAATGGACTTAAATTACAAACATGACAGTTTTGATAATTTAAAAATTTAAAAATGACTAATTAAGGAAGTTTTTTAGAAGAAAAATCAAACTGACTCGGAGGTCGAGACACGGCAAAGGTATAGGTTGTCATCATTAACCCCTTAACTCCCAAGATCTCACAAGTAATTCATTCTCCTTACTGTCTCATATACAGATCCTGTGATGTTAGTTTGGAGAACTTGGTATTGGATCAACTTATAATCTCCTTACTGATATTATTCTTTATTCTCACCACTTTTCTGCTTCATATTATATTGATATTGTAAGAAAAAAATCTTGTCTTGGTCACTTATGGGAATTTAAGGGTTAATTTATCTTTTTTTGGCTCTGCAGCATATTCATAGAAAACTTCATATCCCATACTGACTGAACGATTTTTAACGTAAAGGTAATTATATCCAAAAATAAGAAAATGTTATAATAATGATAACTGTTAAATAATTGATAGCCTGATGGATCGCCCACCAATCCGAACCAAAAAAGCTTGCTGGAAGTGCTAGCGGGAAGTACCTTGGGCGTACTTATATCGAAAATGTTTGTTGACAATTAACGACCTATTGGTGTCGTTTTCGACCATCTTGCGTTGAGTTATAATTTGATGTCAAGTGATGGCAGGAGAGTGCTGGATAAATGAGTGGTGCAATTGATCTCAGCTTGAACCCAATTGGTGAAAGTCAAATTACCCCGCAATTGAAACAACAATGACAATCGTCATGCGTGATTCACGGCTTGCGTCGATGATGCGACTATTTATAGCGATGCACTGCAATCTTCTCACGTACTGTACCGAAGCGCTTCACTTATTCCATCTTAGAAAAAAAATCTTTGTTGATTCATTAGAGAAAAATAAGGATGGAAAACGAAACCGCCGATGAAATACAGAAAACTGCAGACAACTTATACTGTTCCCTTGACGAAGCTCTTGTTGAGGAAGTGAAGCAGTTTTTGATACTTTTGGCAGCTTTTAACATTATTCTGTCATTAGTCGCATTTCTGGGAAACACTCTGATCCTCGATGCTCTTCGCAAGGAGTCTTCCATCCGTCCACCTTCAAAGCTCTTTTTTCGCTGTCTTGCAGCCACTGATATTTGCGTTGGAGCTTTGATCGGGCCGCTCAGTGTTTACTATTGGATATCCACCGCAAACAAGCGATTGAGTAACTGTCAAGCTGTTGTCTCCGTCCTATTCCTGACGGCAAACATCTTGACCTTAGTCTCTCTGTTGACGGTGACTGCGATAAGCGTGGACAGACTGCTCGGCCTGTCACTGGGGCAGAAATTCAAACATGTTGTTACCTTAAAGCGAACGTACGTGGTTGTAACTGCCTTTTGGATCATGTCGATTGGCATTGCGATACTGCCCCTGTATAATTTCCTCGTGTATTCCTGGTGCGTTTACACGATCGTAACATTATGTTTAGCGACCGCGATATTTACTTACACCAAGATATTTTGCACGCTTCGTCACAATCACAATCGAGCAATCTGCGTTCTTCGTCATATGACTCCGCTAACTTTGGCGCGATACAAGAAGGCAGTATCCAGCTCCCTTTGGGTGCAAGCGACGATGGTCGTTTGTTTTCTACCCCATGTTATAGTAGGTATACTCGGACAAGTTTTGCAGGATTGGAGTAAACCTGCAAACTCTTTGCTTTTTATTACAAAGGCGTGTACTGTGACTTTAGTTTACATAAACTCCTCTTTAAACCCGATTCTTTACTGTTGGAGGATCAAATCAATCAGAAATGCAGTGAAAGCCAGAATGAAACAAATTTTTTGCTGTTAGCTCTTGCTGTTTCATTTTGCGTTATAAAATTAAAACCAACTTGCAACAAGCATTCAACTTGCCTGAAATGGTCTTCATTCTCGGAACGTTATTCTATTTAGAGAACCTTGGCGAAGCTGTGTTGAAATATCAAATAGTACAAGAGGAGATAAAACTTGATATGTTTCATTAGCATTCGGTAAAGATACCCAAACAATAGCTCATAATTTTCTTTAGAAAAAATAAAAACAAATTGGCTGTGTCTAATTCCACTGTACCATACCCAAGAGGACTGTACTTCAAACCGCCCACTTGAGTCATACAAACACAATGTATGCTTCAGAAGAGCTCTTTTCAACGAAAACGTTCTCTCAATTTACACAAGCGAAGAAAACAGCTTATTTATTGGAGGAGTTCGCTCTGCTTAATCTACTTGTTAGGATGAATTAGTGAATAGAGCTGCCTTTTGGTCCTTCCGCAATTTCTTGAAAACTCTTTTTCTATTTTTTTTTTTTTTTTTTTTTCTTGCACTCCATCTTAATTTTAAGCATGACTCGGGCTTCGGCACTCGACTCCGAGTCTCGGGTACATTTGCTTGGAAAATATTTGCCACTGCTTTTAATATGGCCAAATGTTCCTATCACGTTTGAAAAAAAATTGTGGTTTACTTTTTATGCAAGAGCTGCCCGAAATGGCGAATGAAAAGGTAAGGAAAAACTTCGATCTCATAAGCATTACAGTCCTTATGAATGAGGCAAAACAGCGTTAAAGATACGTTAGGGTGAGTTGTACCGATTCCTAATTTCTGCTATCATCATTGTTCGTTTTCCATATCGTGATTGATAAGGTTTACCACAATTAATATTTAATATTTATCTTTAAAACGTACGATTAACATGTTCCAACTAATGCTAATCGAACAACGATAAATTTATCTTCAAAGCTTATTTTAAGGTTAGTTATCTTCCTTATCGCAATTAATGCCACCCTTAAAACCTTTTGCTCAGTGAGTTATGAGTGATAAAATGTATATTCAGTGTCCAATTGGTAAAAACAAAACGGCAAAAAGGAGAGGAAGAAAGTGCAGCTGACAAAACGTGGTTAATGAAAATTCGGAATTAAAACACCAGGAGGAGCTAATGCATTTCAGTGACGGCATCATTCTAGATTCGATTAAAATCGAAATGTTTTTCATGAATATTTATTGGTTCCAAGTATCAAACCTTCATGAGAGCTGAAAGTCTTTGTTGTTCTTGTTTTTGTTGCTTCTCTTTTATTTATTTATTCATTTATTTTGTTTATTCGAGGAATACGTACCATTCGCTCTACTACCTTTCATTGAGATTCAGTAAACCATTTATTTAGCTTGTACCTAACGTATTCATTTGCCAAAGACGTGTTCAATCATCGAATGATGGCTGAAAGCTTAAATTGGCCATCCGTAGAAGACTTTATACAAAATAATCAAGAGAGACAGTGGAATCAAAATTTCCGAGGCCAGATCCTTCAAATTTAAACAAAGCGCAAAAGCCGGTCATTAGCAAAGACAACCTATGAGGAAAAAACGCTTACTTGTCGGACTAAAAACAAGAATCGACGAAAGCACGTCAAATCGCACTAATAGCAATTAATCAATATGCTTCATAAACAGCGGCACTTCGTCATCCAAAACCGATGGACATTCGCAGTAAATTACATGTGGTAATGGAAAAGTCGCGATCCTGAATTGAAACCTCAACTCGTTATTTAATATTTTTTCGTGAGACAAACGATTAAAATTCTTTTTGTCGATTAAAATTCGGTACGTTTTATTTAGATGCAAATGTGTGTCGCTCAGGCATAGTGATTTTCACAAACAGCACCAGAAAGTCTAAAATTTACATCTTCAGTCATTTAGAAATAATATCTTCACCGGGGAAACAATCTCCAAGTTACTTGTGTATGTAAAAAATACAAGGGAAGAAAATATTTGTTTTATTCAGTGTTTTTCAATATTTTTTTCTCCTTTTCAACCGCAGTAAAGCTTAGTGGGTTTAGTTACGTTCTCTTAAGAAACGAAACGACCATGCACTTCGGAAAGCAGATGCTCCTTCGCCCTTAAAAAAATCAAATTTGCTACCTTTAAAATCGAATTTAAAAAAATACGGCCAAACATAATTTCTTTCATATACTGACAAATAACAAAACCTGCAAAAGTGAAAGGTGGAAAGAAGCTTAGAACTTGATGAGATAAGTTACATTTATTTTTATGAATGACATTTTCAGTACAACTGTCTGGTACTATGCTAATACTTCAAATCGGAACGCGTTTTGACTTAAAGATAAAATTAAAAAATTAAAAGGCGGCAGCCAACTGTATTCCTTTTAATCGTACGAAACTGAGTCAATTTGAAACTTAAAGCGACAAAGTACTTTTTTAACTCTGGCTTTCACTGCATCTCTCACTGATGCAATCTTCCAACAGTAAAGAATTGGATTTAAGGATGAGTTTAAGTAAACTAAAGTCACTGTATATACTTTCATTAGAAAAACTGATGAAGTTGCAGGTTCACCAGGATCCTGTAAAACTTGTGACACTACTCCAGCAACAGCATACGGTAAGTAACACACAACCATTGTCAGCTGCACACATAATGCGCTGGACACTGCGTTTCTGTAGCGTGCCAAGGTGAGCGGAGTCATTTGACGAAACGCGCTGAGTGTCTGGTTCTGATGATGACAAAGAGTACGGAAAATCTTGGTGTAAGTAAAAAGAGCGGTTACTAAACAAACTGTTACGACCGTATAGGCGAACCACAAATACGCTCGAAAGTTTATTGAGGACATCACCCCAAAAATAATGGATATGATCCAAAAGGCAGTTAAAACCGCATACACCCGCTTCAAAGTCACCTCTCGGTTATATCTCAAACGCAACAAAAGGGCAAGAAGTCTGTCAACCCCTATTGCAGTTGAAGTTAAAAGGGAGACTTGTGTTAGGATGCTGCCAATAACAAAAACTATGGCAACTAAAAAGCGACAATAAATCCATCGATCTTGCATTATGGAAATCCAGTGAAAGACAACCAGAGGCCCTATTATGACACCAACACAAATATCAGTCGTTGCAAGGCAGCGAAAGAAGAGCTTTGATGGTGGACGAATGGAAGACTCGTTGCGAAGTGCATCGAGAATTACAACGTTTCCAAGAAAGGCCGTAATGGACAGAAAAATGTTGAAAGTTGACAAAAACGTTAACTGAGGTCGTATGTCCTGGATTAGAGTTTGCGATAGAGAACAGTATATGTTTCCCACAGTCGCTTGTTTTCTGTCGAGAGTTTCATTTGCCATTCTTCTCTTGGTATATAGTCACTCGACAACGCACTCGACCAAACTGTGTTTTCAAATTAAACCATATTTATGTACGGCCACTGCATGGACCCCAATTAATCAGCGCACCACACGTGTGTGTTATACAAAATATTATGTACTTTTGTACACAGATTGCTTGACATTAATTTGCTTGAAGGAGTTAAATGGCGCCGGCCTTCTCTCTCGGCAATTTTTCTATTTGCGAAGTGATGCGAATAATTACAATCACTCACGATTCACTGCTTCTCTTTATCATCTTTTAAGGAAAAGAAATCCTCTCAGGAACACTTCCACCAAACATGCGGGATCATGTTCCAAGTAACGCAAGTACACCGTGGATAATCCTACACTTCTAACGACGATCCAAAGCGTAAGAGGTGGAGCTGTTCTTTAATCCCTTTTAAGATCAATAACAAATTCAAGTTTCTGATTTTGATCTTAAATTGAGAACTTCCCCTTCCGTTTATGTAGATCAGTTTTGCAGCAATCAAATGCCGTTTTAACTGTGCCTTATTGAAACGGTTCTTGTAGGGCTGATCAAGTTCCCCTGGTATAATAGTTTAACGTCTCCTGTTCTTCTTTCTGTTAGTTTGACAAAATTACGTGTCCAATTAAAATTGGACAGTGGTAGTGTCCAATTTTGGACACGTAATTTTGCGATGAAAGCAGAACGTGACCATCTACACTAATCTAAAATCTAATTTTTTTCAATAAATGCTTCTTTCGAATCAAAAGTGATATACTTTGCATTAAATTTCTTGAATCATTAAATACATTGACACTTTTTCTCACTGTTTAGGCGGCTTTGAAACAAATTGCACAACTTAGTGATGACAGAAGGCAGTTAGAAATTTCTACCGAAACGACAACCTCAGTTTTTTTTACGAGAAAAAAAATCTCTGAAGAGCATTATACCATTTGACGGTGTTCAACCTAAAGAAGAAAATTATGCTTGATTTCCTCAGCTCAGTGTGTTGAGCTTCACAATGCTTTATCTCCAAAACATAGCTTTCTTCTTAACCTGCACCTTAAACAACCTCTTAAGATTTCAAATAGCCAAGTGGCTAAGAGAAATGTATAACTTGGAAACGCAGTGCAGACTAAACAACTGGAAATTGATTATTTCTAAAATAGCTCACGAAAAGGAACCAATCAAACACGTCCTCTCGATAAAGTCAAATTTCAGTTTTCAATCTGTGACTGAAAGAAAAGGCTACCGGCTTTAAGGGAAGAGAAAGAGCAATTTCTTGCTTAAAAACAGATTTACAATGAAAGAAACCCTTGTACATACTAGTAAGTATAAACAATTTATACAAAGCTTGACATGTCCTATTGATCGTGGGGTTCGATGAAAATTTATTACAAATAGAAAAGACAAAAAATACAGATTTCCTCTCAGGGAAGTTTCTGCCATAACAGATAACGATGCGGTATGTGGTCAAATAAGCCCGGGGCGCTTTTGAAATTCGCTTTTTCGTGGAAATGGGGCGCTAATTCAAAGGGCTATATGCGTCACCAAGTTCCGGTGACCCTCCCAATCGCATTTAATTTCTGAATTTTTTTTCTTTAAGTTTACAGTGAAAAATTACCGCAGTAAACCATCTGCTCTTACTTTTGTGATCATTATTTCTCGCGAGGATATTAGACAACACGTTAAATGATTTGAATAATTATAAAATACGTTAGTCGTTATCACCTGTCGCGATGATATTAGACAACGCATTAAACTGCTTGAATAACTTCCAAAGTCGTTGGAGACCATCTCTATCATATATTAATGATTGATTATTCTGGTGGACACGTACATCAGTTTTGAGCCCGAACGGAGAACTCATTTGCAACTGGCGCTAATTCGAGCATTTAGGGTATTTATTTAATTGTTAAATTTTTGCTATTGCAGAAGCTTCAAAGAATATTGTTACGGGAAGAACATTGGCGCCATCGACATGTCCCATACTAATGATTATCATGTTTGTGAGCGTTGTCATGTGACTGATGATCATAAGTGATCTAACGAGAACTTTTGTGTTATTTCCATATGAACTGAGGGTTCGTAGCCAGCTTGCGTATTATTCGCGCAGGTTTTATGATATTCACGGTTATGGCTATTGATTGAAAGCGGTCGTGGATAAGAAGACGACTGAATATCACGAGACTTTGCCCTCGACAATTCAAACACCCGTATCCCCAATTAATTACAATAATTATACAAATCGAGTCGCCAGGCTAAGGATAGGATGGCGAATGAGAGTGTTTATGGAGGACAAAAGACTATGGAAAATGTTTACTGTTTACTTCTGAAGACTCTTATCGAAGAAGTAGAGCTCCAAATGACATTTTTGTCAGTTTTTAACATTTTCATGTCCTTTGCTGCAGTCTTGGGTAATGTTGTGATCATCGATGCTCTTTCCAACGATTACTTTTGTCATTCATCCTCCAAGTTCTTCTTCCGCTGTCTGGCAACAACAGATATTTGTGTTGGAGTTATTTTAGAGCCTCTCACTGTCTACTATTGGTTATCCATGGTGAAAAAACGATGGAATCATTGTCACTCCGTGGTAACCGCTATTTTCGTAATCGGCAATATCACAACTACAGTCTCTTTGATGACGGTGACTTCAATTATCATTGACAGACTTCTCGCCTTACAGTTGGGACTCAGATACAAACATGTCGTAACGTCAAGGCGTATACACATAACTATCGCTGCCTTTTGGATCATTTCGTCAGCCGCTACAGTAATCTCCTTATTGAATTTCCTCGCATATCTTTGGTATGTTTATGTAGTCATAGCATTATGCTTGGTAACCTCATCAATCGCCTTCGCCAAGATGTTCTGTACTCTTTGCGGGCATCAGAATCAAATATTTAGCTCTGAGCACCAGACAACTTCGTTGAACTTGATACGACTTAAAAAGGAAGTGTCCACCGCTTTCTGGGTGAAGTTGACAATGGTTGTTTGTTATCTTCCTCATGTTATAGTTGGCGTAGTATCGCAAATGTTGCAGGATCCAAGTGATCCCATATCATCGACATTTTTTATTACAAAGGCGTCTGCACTGACTTTATTTTATTTAAATTCGTCATTAAACCCTATTCTTTACTTTTGGAAGATCAAATCCATCAGACATACAGCGAAAACCAGATTTAAAAAATTACTCTTTGTTAGCTCTTGACGAAATATTGATCTCAATCCAAGATGGACAAAAGCGCCACATGTCGTTAGTAACTTCTGAGTCATCGTATTTGAATATTAATACACGCATTGCTAGTCAATATATCAGCACGACGCATTTCGTGCCATGTCGAAAGGCTCTAATACTAAATGATGTACGACATTACTTTGTCAAATAAAGAAACAAAATCGACATCACTCGTTTCATATTCTCTCTCAAGTTTTTGCTCTTCTTTATGAATAGCTAAAGGGCGATAGCTTTTCGCGATAGGGACGCGATTGAAGTGAACGAAGCCAGATGCGTCACGACGCCCCTACGGCTAAACGTGTCAGAATTTATTTTTCCTATTGAGCGGGATTTCACATGAAAGAAGAGGAAAACCAGCGACGCTGTTAAAAATTGCTTCTCACTATCAAAAAGATATTTTAAAAAATTGAGAACAAAAATGCGTTTTATAAGAAAAAAAGGTTCACGGCCAAAGAAAAAGCTATGAATGAGTAGTTTCGTCAGGTCAGAAATAAGTGTTTTCAGGTAAAACACTGAATCAAACAAATTTAAATTTAGCGAGACAGCTCACTCTTAAGATGAAATAATCAACCTAGAATAAAATAATTACCTCGACTTTTAATACATTTGCTCATTTCGAAATTTCTCGTTTAATCTGCATTCAAATTGCCCTCTAGTGTTTTGGCGCTTCTCTTAGGAAGTCCTACATGTATTACATTTGCGTATTCACAAACTATGCATGTCCCAACGAAGATAACAACGGTTTAACTGTGGCGATCTTTCCAGAAATGCTGAAGCTATTATCGAATTATTTCTGTCGCTCATAACAATTTTCCGTGCCATTTTCGTCGCCTTTTACAGTTAATTTTTCCTGTAAAAGATTGACAGTTAAACAAGGCTTCAAAGACGACAAATTTGAAGACAGAAGCCCAATATTTAATTTCTACCCTTTACTAAGAGCAGATGGTTGTACGTGCGTCTTATTTGTAGCATTTTCTAAACAATTAGTGTTGAAATATTGAATATGCGAGTGGCTTCGGATCAGTTTCATGAAAATTAGTGGATTTTGTTGTGCTTACGGACGCTGACAAAGACGAGAAAATGCATCCCATTTTGGACGGCTTTATTTTTCAATAGTGTAGGATACAAGTTAGATATGATAACAGATGGTTAAGAGTGGGACTGGGACTGCAGTCGTTCCCATCATTTCTTCTCCGTTGCTTGAAGCGGAATTACTTTGAAGCGCTTTTCGAATAACAAAGCTATCTCTTCATCGAATTATTTCCATGGAAGTTCCAATTTATTTTCAGCCCTCAAAGCACTTCCTTAATGGCCTGACGTATGACAAAACGACTCAGATATGGACCGAACATCATACAATTACTGTTGAATAAATTGACATTCATTTTTTTTTTTAAGGAACAAGA